GAGCCCCCCCAGAGCGCGCCCCGCCGTCCGCCCGACCCCAGCGGCGCCGTCTTCCTAGGCATCTTGTCTGCCCACAAAATAATGGCCAGCTCCCCGGAAATGGACCTGCCCACCGTGTCTGCGCTCAGGGTAGGTGGGGGGGCCCCCGGGCCCCCCGGGCCGCCGCGCCCTGGCGACAGGCAGGTGAAGCCTGGGGACGGGTGCTGGGCTCGCGATGGGCTGAGCAGGCTCTGCTTCCAGCCTCCGGGCACCGGCCCGCGCTCCCTTTGCATCGGGACCCGGGGGCAGGGGTGCCTTAGCTGCCAGAAGACCGGTGGGGTCGGGACAGTCACTCCCTGGCTGCCGCGAGAACGTGGCCGTGGCCGTTGCTGCCCTCGCGTGTCCAGTAGCAGAATGGGAAGACTTAGTGTCTGCTGGGGAGGGACGGGACCGCCTGGGCCCTGGATGCGGAATTCCCAGCCTTGGCTGGCAGGGTGGGCCAGGCAGGGGTCACTTGTGACAAGGGAGCCCCGCTGTCTCTGCCTGCAGAAGATGGGCGTGAACCTGACTCGGAGCAACAAGGAGACCGTGAGGCACAGCGACGTGCTGTTCCTGGCGGTGAAGCCTCACATCATCCCCTTCATACTGGATGAGATCGGGGCGGATGTGCAGCCCCGGCACATCGTGGTCTCCTGTGCAGCCGGTGTCACCATCAGCTCTGTGGAGAAGGTGTCATCTCTGTTCCCGGGGTGGCCAGGGAGTGGCAGTGTTGGGAGGTGGGGCGCTGAGTGTCACGGCCCTCTATCCCGCTGCAGAAGCTCATGGCCTTCCAGCCAGTGCCCAAAGTGATCCGCTGTATGACCAACACACCCGTGGTGGTGCGCGAAGGCGCCACTGTGTATGCCACTGGCACACACGCCCTGGTGGAGGACGGGCAGCTCCTGGAGCAGCTCATGAGCAGCGTGGGCTTCTGCACGGAGGTGGAGGAAGACCTGATCGACGCCATCACTGGGCTCAGCGGCAGCGGGCCTGCCTACGTGAGGCCCTGACTAGGGCTAGGCAGTGGCGGGATGGGCCGCAGGCGGGCTGCCGCGGGAGGCCCGGAGCGCCTGCCGCGGGGCTCAGCCAGTGTCTCCACAGGCGTTCATGGCCCTGGACGCGCTGGCTGATGGTGGGGTGAAGATGGGTGTGCCGAGGCGCCTGGCCATCCGATTAGGGGCCCAGGCCTTGCTGGTCAGTGTCTTTTCCGTGCATATGTGGGCCCGGGTGTGTGCGGCGGGGCCACGGGTGGGCCATGGCGCTGGGAGTGGTCTGGGAGCAGCGGCTGTGGGAAGGCCTGTCCCTTCTTCCTCACCGCCCTTGTTCTCAGGGTGCTGCTAAGATGCTGCTGGACTCAGAGGACCACCCGGGCCAGCTCAAGGACAACGTCTGCTCCCCCGGGGGCGCCACCATCCACGCCCTGCACTTTCTGGAGAGTGGGGGCTTCCGCTCTCTGCTCATCAATGCAGTTGAGGCCTCTTGCATCCGGACAAGGTGAGTATCTCATGGCCCAGGCCCAAGCCTCCACCCCCAGCTGGGGCTGGGCTGGCAGCGCCCTGTGGTTCTGCTTCTTGGGTCTCAGCAGCAGTGCTGTTTGTTGTCTGTTCTTTGTTGATGTGCACCGTTCACCAGACTCTGTTTAGCTAAGGATTTGTTGGCTACTTAAGTCCTGAGAGCTGGGACCAGTCCGATTTATACGTGGGGAAGTTCAAAGTCAAACAGCAAATGATGGGGACAGGATTCACCTTTGACTCCAGCTGCAAGCCTCTGGTTTCACACCCCTCTTCATGTAATTGCAGGGACCCTGGAGCTCTAAGATCAGATGAGAGGAGTAAGCCAAACCCTTACTTTAGTTAAACAGGGCTTTTAAGAACTTAGGAGGTGCCGGGCGCTGGTGGCTCACGCCTGTAATCCTAGCTACTCAGGGGGCTGAGATCTGAGGATCAAGGTTCAAAGCCAGCCAGGGCAGGAGAGACCGTGAGACTCCTATCTCCAATACACCACCAGAAAACCAGAAGTGGTGCTGTAGCTCAAGTGGTAGAGCGCTCGCCTTGAGCT